TTCCTGAAATCACTTGAGGCTGGTGACACATTTCCAGGATGAGCCACCCTTTGCCCAGCAGCAGTGATTTCACAGCACCAGAAAGCTCTGCTGGTACCAGGAGAAGCCAGTCACAGGTCCCTCCTGTCACCACGACTTAGCTCAAGCTTGCAGCTCAACGCCCCTCCAGTCAACCTTAGCAAAACCTCTACAGGAAGGACTGGCTGGCCACGCTGCCTGTTGGGTTTGGGGGAGGAGATTTGGTCAAGAAATATCACCTAGCTAACAAAATCCTGGGCTGGAGGGTAACCAAGACAACATTGGTTTGCTATATTTTTTTTTTTAACATATATTAACAGACCACTTCAAACAGGCATCACCGATCCTCCATACACCAACACAAAGTTGACTATGAAGTCAAGCTCATGGAATTGCCTTCTGTTCAGAATCCAGCATACTCCTTAGCAATACAGGGGATTTTCACAGTGCGGGAGGTTAATGTGCAATACCCATCAGGCCACCAGCGGGATCTGTGTTTAAGGCAAAGCACCAATAAATTGGGTCAGCACATGAATCTCCAGAGAGGGAGGAAAGAGGGAGAGCAGAAAGAGCACCTTAGGCAGCCCCACCGCAGGGCCGGGCACAGCATGTGATGCCCTCGGGACTCTAGCCTCATGGATTGAGGTTTTCAGAAAGGAAAATCCATTTTTCCATTAGAAGTAACAATAAAAATATTATGTTGATTGAAAATGTGCAATCAGGCCTGACTTACAGTTTGCCCTGATGCATTCAGGCTTTACATCGGAAGGCTGTAAACCGTTATAACAGAAAATAATAGCTGGGTATGTTTACTCACCCAAAACCACGCTTCATTTCTTTACCTGAATACATTATCACGTACACTGACCATTGTCACTGCTCAGTGAGGCAAGCAGACAAAAGTGGGGAAAATAAACATCTACCCAGATTTCATCAGCAGATAAGCTATTAATTCACACACAAAACAATGAAGAAATGCCAGGATATACGACAGTAACCACTCCTGAATTGATTGTGTTATTGAATAAAAGCAAAGGTAGAACATGCAAAAAAGTGCTTAGTGTTAGTTTGTAATATGAAATTAAGAAGCCTGTTAGATCCAAAGTGATCCTGGCTTCTCGTTGTAGTAATTCAGTGTGACATTTCCAGTACATTCAAATATTTCCAAGAAAACAGAGGAAAGATTTTAAATCAATGGCCAAAAAAGAAAATAAAGAGTTGATGTAAGGGACTTGATTTCCATGAAATCATTGAAATGAGCTGTATGCAATAACTTATTAATGCCAAAATATTCCATTAGAACTTACTATTTCCATGTTTATATAAGGCTAGCAATTAGAGGGGGGAACGCTGGGCCAACACACAGCGCAGCAGAAATTAGAAGCTGTTGGTCATGTACTGAAATCCTGTATGAAGACAGTTTAGATAAGGAGAAATATTTACATTTTTCTTTCTGAGCCCAAGACCTTGGAAAGCAAAATACTAAACCAGTAACTTCTGAAATGACCTGAATCCGGCATTATTACAAAGACCCTGTGGCTCTTTGCACATCAGTTCTGCAGTTAAAAGCTCGCGTGAAGGAAGAGTTGAGCAACAGTCAGCAGTTACCAGAATTTCTCTTTTCCCATCAACTCCACCTCTGGAAGGCAAACGTCTGAAGCTGGGGGAGGTGACCTGCGTGCAAGCACTGCACTGGCAGTGCCGGGGCCAAGGCATTGAGGGACGCAGACGGGGAGGTAGAGCTGAAATCCAGCTGGCTGGACACAAATCCCTGTTTCTTCCCTTGCAGCAGGAAAAGGGAACTGTTCCTTACTGGAAACGGGCCACACGCCCCCCAGATCCCAGCACAAGCACCAAAGCTCTCCTGCACCAAGCTCACACTCGCCCAGAGCCAGCAAGAGGTTGTCCCGAGAAGCTGCACCAGCCTTGACAGCCCTTAGAGCTGGTCCCTGCCCCACCTGCTCCCCATTTCGTACCTGCTGCCCGATTTCCAGCCTATCCTGACCCACAGCCCAGCTCCTGACTTATCTCAACAGCTTCATGCATCCACGACCTGTGCCTTCCTGACCACAAGCCACCTCGGCCCTCCCACCCGAGCACCTATTCAGGTTCCCATCTCCAGCCTGGCCCGAACACCAGGCTCCCTGCCAGCCCCACAAGGCCACCAAACAGGAGTGCAAACATGAGATTGTCACTTGCTCTGTGGTCCCAAACAGACGGTTAGGGAGGCAGGAAGAGCCCCATCACCCACACCCGGGGCACAGCAGCTCCAAAACAGGAGCGGGGTTGCATCCTTGCACCTATTCATGGGAAAGACATCACTGGGAAAGCAGAGAGGCAGGTACCCTCCTTGTGCTGAGATGTGCTAGAGATGGAGCCCACACAGGAGAGGGGAAAGCTAGACATGTCTTGGCTTCATTCCCTCGCTTCACCGACCAGCAGAGCTTAGAGGCACAGAGGGGCTGTGATATACTGCTGGTGCTGATCCTTAACAGTCTCCAGGACAGAGGAAGAAAGGCTCAGGGAACAGAGGATTACACGTGGCCCCTTAGTCCAAAGCACAGCCGCAAGCTTGCTCTCTGCGAGTGTTTGCCAACGAGCCAGTGCATCTTATTTCACAGATGACCACATCGGTGGGTAAAGGCGTTTGTAGATACTGGGGTTGGGAAACAAAGAATTATGTGATGTTATTTTCCTTTAACGGTTGCTCTATTGCACTGAATAAGAAGACCAAAGAAAAATCTGATTCAGGTAACAGCATCTGCTCATCCCTGCTGGGAAAGTCTGAAGCCTGAAAGATATCAGGCAATTTAAGGAAAAATATACCTGCAGACTGTCAACAGAAACAGAGAACGTCACACTGAAGGCAGCCCAAATTAACCAGTTTGCAAGATATTTCCCAAGACTTTGAGGAGGCTGGGACCGGAGCCCGGAGACATCCTCTGGTCCCCATAAGAAGGGCCCAAGTGACCCACGGGAGGTACAAGGGAGGATCCCCGCAGGAGTTGCCCTCCTTTGCTGCTGGGTTACCACCACTCTTCATCCTAAATCACCAGAGAGTGAGGGGCACTTGCAAACAGTGCACTGAAAGATCCCATGAGTCTTTTGTTTTCAATTAGACTTGCTAAAAGTAGGTGTAACAGCTTATTTAACAAACTGGGGTGAAGTGCCCCTTGCCAGGCACCTGAAAGCAGTTGGCTGCAGGGCAACGGAGCTGCAGCTCCACTGTAGATCAGCACTGCAGGTTCTCCAGCTGGGGAGACCTGCCCTTCCAACGTCCTGACTCCGCAAGCACATGGGTGCCATATACACTACAGAAGAGCTCCCCTAAAGCACTTTGTGTGATCTTTCAACAGTGAGACTCACTTCTTCTGAATCCCACAAGAAAGGAGGAAGGTGAAGGAAGACAGCTCTCCTTTATTAACATCTCTAGGGAACTTTGGTCCTAGCAAAACTTGTCCACAAAGGTCACATAGAGGGACAGGGCACATCCACCGGTCTCCCATCTTCACATAAAACTCAAGCGTTTGAAAGGCTCAGGGAGCAAAGAGCTCACAGAAGAGTCAGGCAGACACCATTTACACAAACTGTACCTAACCAGAGAGCCAGTGCACACGCAGATGGGAACCAAAAAAATGCAGTTTTAAGGAATCAGTTATTTCTGCGTGTTACTGCTATTTCACCTTTTGAAAACCATGTAATTAGTTACACTTAGTTGCTTACATTATATTTCAAAGCTAATCTCACTTTGATTGTATAACTCTTGCATGTGGAGTTTCAACACATTTGACACAACATTCTGTAACTACAAAGTAATAGATGTATCCAAACAACTTTAAGTTAAAGAACACATTTAAGTAGCTTTCAGCTGTTCCATCATCATACCTGTTAAGGCCCAGCCCCCACCCAGTGCCACAGCCTCCGGCTTCAGCCGCTCACACGCTAAGGAAAAACCCACCCCTGCAGCTATAAGCCATAATGTACAAACCCTACCGCGGCACGTTAGAACAGATTATGTGTCATATTACCTGTCCTTACATGAAGCGCTACAAACAGCTCGCCCAGAACCCCTTAAAAAAGCCACAGCAAAGGGAACAGAAGCGACACCCAGGGAACTGCACACCCCACACTCACCCTTCCTGAAGCACCGTCCTCGGCCACTCTCCTCCACCTCTCGCTCCCTGGGGCACAGGCTCCAGCTTCCACCTGCCTCCTTTTCTCTCCCGGGGCTTGAGTGCTAACCCAGCCCAGCTGAGTTCCCTAAGAGGCAGCACCACGAGCTCAGCAGCAGAAAGGCTGCAGCCACAGGCAGGCAAAAAACACCCATCCCCAAACCAAACAGGTAGTGTTCCATGTGCCATTGATGCTGCACCCCCGCCACGTATCATCTCTTCCAGCAGCGGTGGGTTCCCCAGTCAAACCAAAACTGTAAGGCTCTTCCTGGTGGACTGAAAACTTGCCAAACTGGGTTAAAATAAGCTGAACTTCAGCTCACTGCGTAGGGAGGTAGTGAACTTCTGAGCAGAACTCAATTTCCAAGCGGCACCACACAGACCCGCTATCGAGCAGTGGTGGGAGGCAATGGCAGACGAGCAGCCAGTGTTACTGTCCTCATGGCCACCTCACCAGGCAGCCTTTGACTGAGCCGATCTTGGTGAAAAAGCAGAGAAAGTCGGAAAGCCTTGCTTCTGGCTGCACAGCAAAATGTTTTGCTATGACTATGAACACCTGCACTTGAAAGATGCGGGGTGACACCATGGCTTCCACGGGAATCCAAGTGCTGCACCTACAGTGAGCTATACCTCTGGACCCTGGTAGCAAGAGGTCCCGCTAGGACAGCAGGTCTTCTTCCCCCATGAAGGTGTGGAGCAGTCCATAGGATCATGGCCCTGTTGGCTCTTTTTTTTTCTTCATCAATCTTCTTTTCCCGTTGGAAGAGCAGTGACTTCCCTGTGCAAAGCATGGTGACGCTGTAAGAGCGCATGGATGTGCTGCAGGGGAGCGTGGAGCACACGGCCCTGGAGAAGTGCCCAGTGAGGGAACAACGCTGGATGGAGCCTGGGGAAAAACACTTTGGGGGTGAAAGAAATACTTTAGTGTTGCTTAATGCGGGGAAAACTGGGCCAGCCTGCTCAGCATTGAGATGATTCTGTGGAAAGGTGGTAGTGGGTGGGCAGAGTCATGGAATCACAGAACCCCGGGTTGGAAGGGACCTCAAGGATCATCTGGTCCAACCTGTCTTGGCAAAAGCACGGTCTGGACAAGACAGCCCAGCACCCTGCCCAGCTCAGTCTTCAAAGTGTTCTATGTTGGGGAATCCACCGCTTCCCCGGGAGATTATTCCAATGGCTGAGCATTCTCAGTGTGAAAATTTTTCCTCGTGTCCAATTGGAATCTCCCCAGGAGTAACTTGTACCCATCACCCCTCATCTTTTCCGTGTGACTCCTCCTAAAAAGGGAGTCTCCATCTTCTTTTGAGCCACCCTTTAAATGCTGGAAGGTGGTGATCAGGTCTCCCTCCCCTGAGCCTTCTTTTCTCAAGGCGGAACAAGCCCTGTGCTCTCAGCCTCCCCTCCTGCGGCAGGCTTCCCCGGCCGCGGGGCCTCTCAGCGCATCCCCCTTCGCCTTCCTCCGGCTCCAGCCCGAGCCCTGCCAAGGACCGTCCACCCCCGGCCCGAGCACCTGGAGACCACCGGGGGGGGCTTGTGCCTTCCTCCAGACCGCCCTCAACCTTGGACAACCGTCAGCAGCAGGGCGGGTTCCCCCCCCGGCGCTCGGGGATTATCACAGCCCACAGGATCTCGGATCAGCACTACCGCCTGTTCCTGGGCAGGAAGGGGAGCGCGCAGCTCTCCGTGCTGACCTCGCTCCGGCCGGGCAGGGGCGAGGGGGCCAGTAGCCACCCTCCAGCCCAGGCCACGGGAGACTGCTGCGCCCAGCCCGGGCACAGCGACCGCGCTCCGGCCCTGCAACGCCGGTACCGCCGCTGCCCCTCTCCGCTACCGCTTTATTAGTTTTTTTTTTTTTTTTTTTTTAAATCTTGCAAACCTTTGTGGAACAGACGCCCTCTCCTTGCCCCAGTTGGAGCTGCAGTAGAATGAAAAGGGGGGTGGGAAGGAGGGAGGAGAGGAGGGGAAAAAAACCCTGCTTTTGGTTGAGGTTTTCCTGTTACTATCACTGTAGCGTTTATTTAGCCAATCTCCTAACTATGACGTGAGGAAGGCAGGAATCATGGCTCGCTCATAATATTTAACACACCCACTGAAAGCTGGAGCTGCAGAGCTACTAGTCCAACCAGTCTCCAGAATTCCGCGTAGCCGAAAGAGGTTTTCACTCTGCACCTGCCAAAGATCTCTCCCCCCTCTCCCCTTCTCTCCCCCTTCTCCCTCCCTCCCTCTCTCTCTGAAGGCAGAGCTGTAAGACCCAGCAGAGATCAAAGACGGGACCTCTTTGCTAGAAAGAACCTCTACTGTTTTATATTAGTTTCTTTCCTCTAATCCTCCCCCCCCCCCTTTTTTTTTCCCCCTGTGATATATTTAACCTTTATGTTGCAGTTGTGCCATCAGACAGTTTTGCAGCCAAAAAAAACCAACCCAAGCCAAAGCGAAAGCCCGGCTCGGATACAGCAGCCACCCACACTCGATCTCAGCTCAACATATTAATCTCTCCCGAGCACTGGACGCGATGGATGAAGAAACTGGAACCGCTCGAAGAAAATTCTTTTCCAGCCGCGGTCGTTAAGCGGCCTCAGGGGCGCGAGCGGGCGGAGAGCGCTTCTGCTGCATCACCGCCCGGAGCCGGAGGAAGGGACTCCGCGTTTCCAGCCCAGCCAAATACTATGGATGATTTTTTTGCTTCCGTCGCCTTTCCGTACAGGTTTTCTTAATATTATTCTTCCCCCCTCCTCCTCCTCCCCGTCTTTCTTTTTTTTTTTTTTTTGTAATTTATTTTGAATACTCTTCCCTTATCTTTCCTAAAAATATCAAAGGTATTACACAGGAGAGAAGGATTCTGGTTTTTGCATGCACAGACTTCCTATCAGTCAACCCATATCTTTTGAAAAAAACACCCACTTCTTGAAAATGAAGTCCTTCTGTGATCCTTGCCCTTGTGATATCCTGCATGTAAAAGTTGATGAAGTCTTCTGCTGGAGACAAGCTGGGTGATGAGAGATCCGGTTGGTGGTCATGTGTGGGTTTTGGTTTGGTTGAGTCGAGGAACACAGCCGTTTGCTCATTGCTCATCCCTCTAACTGGTTGTGCTTGCTTTTGTACAAGCTTGACTACCTTTAACAACATTAACCTTATGCTCTGTATGCATCCCTCAAATGACAACTTCGCATTTTGGAAGCTATTTTAAGGTATAAAGAGCTGTTGAAATTATGTGTTGTGTTATTTAGCAGGTTTTTTAGACAGTTAGGATAGGTTCTAACTTAAATTTGACTGAAAAATTTTTCAAGGAGAAGAACGGGGAGGGGGGGGATATACTTTTTTTTTCTCCATTAGAAACCACCACCCCCCCAAAATATAAACCAGACAAAAAAGCAACCAAAGAAAACCTTTTACTTTTTTAATTTGCTTTTAGCATATTTGAGTTATAGTACAGATTAGCTGAAGAATCTACCAACATTTCATGAAGCTGAGGAATTTCAGGTGTGGCTGCAGTTCTTTCCATGCAAAATTCATAGTGATGTTAATGGTCATCATACATTTCTCTTCATAATCTGTTCATCAGTTTGTGCATTTGGGTTCTACTGTCTGTGGTAGAAAACAATTGCAGTTCACGGGGTACCTCAAGGTAATGAAGCAGACTGTGAGGGAAAGCTGAGGGCAGTGTTAACTGCCGCTATTTACATGTGTAGTAAGTGTCATATCTTGCCTTGCTACAATCTGGTGATCCCGGTTGTTTTCCAAAAAAAAAAAAAAAAAAAAAAAAAAAAAGAAAACAAAAATAATAATAAAAAAAGCTCTATGACATGCAGAATAAACAGAGGAGTGCAGGAAGGCCGCAGTGCCGAGGGCAGATGTCCCCTCTCCGGCCACAGCCAGAGGCAGATGCCACCAGAGGAGCGATGGGAGAGATGGGGAGCGTGGGGGGAGCTCCCTCGGACCCCCCTGCCTCCCAGCAGGGGCAAGGGGCCAGCGGCCGGCCCTGGCCGTAAGCCATTAGCTTGGCCCCAGAGCAAGGTCCAATGTCCCAAAGGCATTCCTCCTGGCCGGTGTCCCTGCGCACGGGGTCTGCCCTGGGCTACGTTCTTCATCCCCGGTGAATCCCCGGTGACCCCACACCTCTGCTGCTCCCCGGCCTTCGGAGTGGGCAATTGCCCCAGCGCACCCCGGGCCCTCTGGGCTTGTGAGAAACGCTGAGACATTTCACTGACTGGAAAATCCAAACGTTTGTCTAATGCAACAGCACCCTCTTCCAAACGCGCTGACATCCGCCCGGCTCAGCAGCGGCATCGTGCCCTGTGGAGCGCTGGCAGGCCGCAGAGCGTGAGCGGAACCTTACCAAAGGGAGGACAGATATTTCTGATTGCCGCCCCTCCGGCGTGCGGATTGTCCAGACCCCTTCCCTCGAATAACTAAAACTGACCCTGGAGTGAAATAACCTGAAAAAGTTCTGGTTTCTCTGCGAGGAAAAAGAAAAAAGGCAAAAAAAAGCATCACAACTGTATGAACACCTGGGGATGCCTAAAAGCACAGAGGGATTTGGGATCACAGGTCTGTGCTGGCGTGTTCAGTGGGTGAAGAGTGAAATTACCATTGATGCCCACAATGCAGCTGCCTCTTCTACGTATATTTTCCTTAGTGGCTGCAGCCAAAGTTCGCAGAACTAACGTGAAATTTAGTGGTTACAAGTCATTTTATCCATTCTTCTCTGTAACAGTATCCTCCCGCTGGGGAAGGGGCAGCCCCCGCGGGGTCGGGCTGCAGCGGTGGGCTCGGGGGCAGCCTCTCCCGGGCCTCTGCGTTGAGAGAGGAGCAGCAGAAGTGGGGGCACTGGGGGATCCAGGCACTGCTGCGCCCCACCGCCCTGCCCCACCTGCCCTGTGGACAGGGGCACGGGATGATGCTGTCATTTGGGTCAAACGGGTAAAAGATGTGTGCGACGTAACGCAGCCTTAAGCGCTGCCTAAACTGTGCAGCTCCGCGTTGATGCTGTGTAAGGGCCCCTGCTACCGCTCGGGGATGTCACCCTGAGTTTTGCTCCCGAATTCCACGGGCTTTAACTCAGGAATGATGAGTGGAGGTGGCAGTGCAGCTGCCCCGGCCCCAGGTGGGCGCAGGGACAAGCCGGGGACTTCCCCCTCCCCTGTCCTGCTTTGCCTCTCCTCCATGTTGTCACGTTTTGAAGCCCTGTTCTTGATGCCTATTACAAGCTGTAATGTTATTTCTTTCTCCTCATTTTTGGGTTTTTGTTGTGTTGTTCTCTTTTTTTTTTGGTGGTAGGCAAAATGAAGATAATGAAGAATTTTTGCCAACTGGAGAAACCTCCATAGACTCCTACCCAAACTGGTTAAAATTCCACATTGGCATTAATCGGTACGAGCTGTATTCCAGACATAATCCTGCAATTGAGGCTTTGCTACAAGACCTGGTCTCCCAAAAGATAACCAGTGTTGGTATGTTCAGATATATCTCATTTTTTATGCTTATTTGCTCATTGTTCAGGATCTCATTGCTGTTTGAATATTAATGAATATTTTGCATGGCTTCTCTCCGGCGTGCCTACAGCATCGCTTCCTGACTTCTGCGCTCATTTTCCCTGTTAAGCATAACGAGAGATTGCCAGCTCTGTATTACTGACTCACTGAAAAGCCTGCCAGCCAGGCAAGCCCCCTTCCTTTTGGAGATCTTCTAGGCACAATCAGGCTGAAAGTGCCCGATTCGGTTCTTTAAGATAAATACGATGATTAAAAAAAAGGGCGGCAAAAAGCAGATAGCGTCTTGCTGGGGCTGGGTTTGTGTGAGGGGCTGGTTGTTACTGGAAAGGCTGTGCCCGGTGGTGGGGGCTCTGTGGGGCTGTGTGGGGCTGCGGCCCCCCCGGTGCCGCGCAGGGAGCCCCGGGCAGAGCGCGGCTCTGTTCCGCTTGGGAATCCACGGCGGGGATGCGCCCCGTCAGCTGCGGGTTCTGGGTAGAAAAGGTGACACAGTTCAGGGCTTTTCTCCGGGGCTCTATGATGGCGGTGTGTGTCTCCTTGAGTTCAGCTGTGCAGGGGGGAAAAACCCCACAGCCCCAAAGGCAACGCACGGGGTGCTGCGCACACGCACGGCTGGGGGCT